TTTTTTTTTTTTTTTTTTAATTAAAAGAAGGAATGACAATGGGGAAAAGGAAAATGTTAAGCAAGGATAGAATCTCCAATCCGAGCCCTAGAATGATCACAGGCGAAAGGTTCTGGAACACAAGCCACACCACAGAGTAGAACCTGCCTTTTGTACCCTGTGTTGTTGATTTGGAGGATGAAGTAACTTCGCAGGTTAGAGCTTCTCTTCTCCCTCTTATAAGTGCAATTTTCCAGAGAAGGGGGCAGCTGTGTGCAGCCAACACAGCAGCTGGAGGATGGATTCGCTGGCAGGGTAGAGGAGATCTGGGTCGAGCACCAAGACATCCGCCACCCCTAGAAGAGACAACTGGGGTGAAACTGCAAGATCTGCAATTGACCAGGAGAGAGAATCAATGATTAATTTGCCATCCTGGAAAGAGGGCTGGACCTGGAAGTCAACCTTTATCATTTGAAACATGATAAGGATCAGGGTGGACAACTCTGAGGTCTCTGGCCAGGACAGCTATATAATTTGCAGGATCCTGTGCAAAATGAAAATGCAGGGCCCCTTGTTTAAAAATATATATAAAATTATATATATATTTAAATTTTGTTATATATTAATTTCAGGGGGGAAGATAGCAGAGCATTAAAGCAAGCACGGAGTTCTGAGCAAGAGGCCCTGTGTGACTGCCCAAACCGGTCCCCGCTATGAAGCCAGCCTGTCCCTGGCAGCTGGGACCAAAGAACTGTGGCCTGGGAGCCAGGCACTGCTGTATACTGAGGTCACAGGAGGGCATACGACCCAGGCCTGGCTGCCATGAAGACCAGGACCAGGACGGTGAGGGTTTAAGAACAAAGAGGGAGTGGGTGAGTGACGCTGGAAGGAATGTGGGTCTCTTTCCCAATGCCTCTGGGGTCTTGCCCATCAATCTACCATCTCACTGAAGCTGCCTTGTGTAGATTGTGAGATACATAACGGCTAAAATAGAAAACATTACAAAAAGAGGCCTCTTCCTGCCGGACAGAAGGCTGTAGAGGGTCTTGGCTGGGAAACATGAAGTGTGAAAAGGGGACCAAGGCGAGATAAGGCAAGAGCTGGGTCCCGAGGGCCTGGAGAGCGCCAGGTGGAGGATTCTCAAGGCTGCAGTAGGCTTAGGGACAGCAGGCGCCACACAATTTGGGCGTCTGAGAGGGGCACGTAGTCGGACATCCGCTGCTAGAGGTCGTCTCGGGACTACCCCGGGAGAGCACCTAGAAGGCGGACACCAGCGGCGGATGCGACCAATCAGGCCGCGGGGATGTCCAAGCATAGTCAACTTTTCCCAGGGGCTGGGCCAGCGCAGGCGTGGTCTCGGGGATGGGCGTGTCCCCTCCTTCGGCGTCCCCACCTGAGGCCGCCCGCCGCCCCGCCCCTGCCGAAGGCGCACTCGCCCCGCCCGGAGTAGGGTCCGCCTTATGAGGGCGCGCGAGGTCGCGGCCCGGTGCGCAGCCGCAGAGGATCACTTCCGGGGGCGGATCGGCGGAAGTGAGGGCGGTTGAGGCTGCGCGGCCGGCTGTGGTAGGAGGGGCCGTAAGGTGAGTGAGTCCCGGAGCTGGAGTCTGAGGTAAGACTAGGTCCGAGTGCCGCTCGGGAGGCGGGAGCGCGGCCTCCCGGCCCGACTGTCAACGCAGCCTAGTGTCAGGCGTTG